TTTTTTTTTTAGCTGCTCGTGCTCGACTCCAAATCAAAATGCTCGAGCTCGGCTCGAGTTCGGCTCGAAATTTTGTAAGTGAAAAGTTAAAATTACAATTAAACACTTATGCTAATATATATAATAAGCGGTATTTTATTATTTTAATATGTATCTCGAGCCGTTCGACAAGGCAAAATTGGGGTCGAGCTCGACTCGTCAAACTAGAGCTCGAGTCGAGCTTTGATTACAAATTTTGCCGATAAATAAACTATTGTTGGTAGTCGATTCCTACTTCTGCACTCTGCTCGACAGGAAGTGAAGGTATGGTTGGACTCACTCTTCCTCGCGTAGCATCGGCCGTGCTCCGACAAATAGAAATCTAGCCGAGTAATCGTCCATGCCTTCCCAAAGGCGTCGGCCGACTACAATATGTTTCCAACTTTAAATTCCCAATATTTTTTTGTCTTATATTAAACAGAAACCCTAATTTTTGTCTCATTCCAGCTTCTGTTTTGCAGTTGTGCAGGTAATTGGAGAGCTTCATCTTCGCAAGACCAGTTGAGCTTACTGACAGGTAAAAATATCTGGTTGCATTTTCTTTCTTTCTTTTTTTTTTTTCAAAGCTAATTGGTAGTGTGGCTCGTTGATTGCAATGTGTTTTATTTGGTAACATTTTCTAGAATGTAAATTAGCAGCCTTCTAATACAAACAAACAACAACAACAACATACCCAGTATATTCCCAACTGGTTGGGGTCTGGGGGTCAGTTGTACGCATACCTTACCCTTGTAATTATATAAGGAGGTTGTTTTCGTAGCGACCCAAGGTACATTGCGTCGTTTGATATATTTTATCTCCAAAAACTTCACTAATAGAAGAAGCACTAGAATTTAATTGAGCCATTTTGATCTAGTCAGTGCTAGAAGAATTGTCAACAATGACTCTTCCAGCTCCATTAGCAGCCTTCTAATAATCGATTTTTTTGTGCCACTAATTTTGCATCTTGAACTGGATACCTTAAGCAATAGTTGCCTGTGAGGATGATACAGTTTCGTCTCACTGTTTGAGAGCTGATAAGAAAAAAATCAATTTTGGGTTGTTAAATGGTTAATCAGTTTGCACGCATACTTACTGATCCTGTTGTGATACACGGTCTGACTTTACTGTTTTTTTGGTTTCGTTTTCTTATGCTCGTAGTGTTAATGGACGAAGAAGAAGAAGTGGAGTTAGTTGCTGTGGTTGAGGTGGTGTTCACTGTGATTAAGATTTTTTTGTTTTTCGTTCAAATGTACATACAAATATTTCGCCCACGTGGGCGAAAGCGAACTCGAGCATCGTTAGACATGGAAGACCGGTTCATGGACCTGATGGAGTCTTTTTGCACGAACATGGACAGTCAACTGGCGGAACTTGTGAAGAGAATTGGCTTCAGGTATGACGCGGAACAAAAAAGGAAGGCCATTTATGAAGAGATAAGTGGGATGCACTTTCTATCTGTGGAGGACAAGGTTCGCGTTTGTATGTACTTTTGCAGGAATTTGAAAGTGAAAGACCTATTCTCTAGCATATCACCCGAAAACAAAACTGTTATGGTTAGGATGATCCTCGAGGGTCGGCTGTAGAAGTAAGCACAGGGCTATGTTAGGACTTTTTTTTTTTTT